TACTCGATACTCGATACCCACTACTCAATACTTTAACAGCACTATTAGTTAGTTAGTTAGTTAGTTAGTTAGTTAGTTAGTTAGTTAGTTAGTTAGTTAGTTAGTTAGTTAGTTAGTTAGTTAGTTAGTTAGTTAGTTAGTTAGTTAGTTAGTTAGTTAGTTAGTTAGTTAGTTAGTTAGTTAGTTAGTTAGTTAGTTAGTTAGTTAGTTAGTTAGTTAGTTAGTTAGTTAGTTAGTTGTTAGTTAGTTAGTTAGTTAGTTAGTTAGTTAGTTAGTTAGTTAGTTAGTTAGTTAGTTAGTTAGTTAGTTAGTTAGTTAGTTAGTTAGTTAGTTAGTTAGTTAGTTAGTTAGTTAGTTAGTTAGTTAGTTAGTTAGTTAGTTAGTTAGTTAGTTAGTTAGTTAGTTAGTTAGTTAGTTAGTTAGTTAGTTAGTTAGTTAGTTAGTTAGTTAGTTAGTTAGTTAGTTAGTTAGTTAGTTAGTTAGTTAGTTAGTTAGTTAGTTAGTTAGTTAGTTAGTTAGTTAGTTAGTTAGTTAGCTAGTTAGTTAGTTAGTTGGTTGGTTCATTTGAACTTTATATTTCGAATTCTGGTCGAAAACACAAAATTAGGATAATTTTAAGTGTTCCATCTTTATTTAAGTAAAATTTCTCATGTTTATAGCGTTTATGAGACGTTTTCCCTTTATACGGATTTCTTTAGAATCATTGAAACAAACAAGGAAAATTAAATTTTTCTTAATAAAAATCTGTTCCTACTGTCAACTTATGCACGTATAATGGTAAAAATAGATTTTTTTTACATAAAAATGTTTTAAAGTTAAAGAAATTGTTTGGGTGTATATTCTCGTGTATCTGTGTGTGTTCAAATCCAAAATGTCAAATACTTCCGTTACACATTTTATTTAACAACAAGAAAGAAATAATTTAATTTAAACATGAATTCAGACTTTAATAGAGATTTTCGTTTGAAAAATCTACAGAATTTCTTACAAATATTTGCTTACAAAAATATGCAAATATATATTAAGCAGATTTTAAAGAAATAATTTTAAAATATTTAAATTTATAAAAATGAATTAAAGCGAAATATGTTGTCAACATTTTAATACAATTTATTGAATAAAATTTTTTATTAAAACTCTTAGGTTAAATTTAGATGTTTTTCACCACACCAGCATTAAGAACATATCAATTACATTAACTTTGTTAAAATTTCAACAATGAATTTCATAATATTTGAAATGCTTGTCATCACTTTATCTGTCCGTTTTTCTTAAGTGTTTGTGTGTGGGTTTTTTTCTGTCATCCTAAATTCATTATTCATAGATTCGATTCGAGTGTGTCTAATGAAATAAGTAAACAATTTGAAAATAATCTTTTCATATCTGTTGGGGTTTTTCCCACAAAAAAAAAAAATATGAAATTTCCTAAATTTTGCTGAACTCCTTAACTTTTTTATTTGTTTTATTTTTTTGTTTATCTTCTGTGTGAGAAAGGATTTATCTGACGAAATATCCTGCAGCTATGCTCTTAGTATCATGCTAAATAAATAAAAAAATAAAAAAATCCTAGCAACCTTTGAGAAATGTATTAAATATTATTATAAAATTCTTCAAAAAAGAATAATTAATTAAATTTTAATATTAATTGTTAATAGTAAACGTCAAAATAATTATGTTCAACAAACTTTATAGCATATTTACTCTGTATGGGAAAGCTTGAGTTTATAAGCTACGATTATTCGATATAGAAAAGCTTTCTACAAAAAAGCTAAATATAATTTCTTTATACAAAGTTTGTTTCTTTAAACAAAAGCTTATTCTGACAATGAATAGATTTGTTCTAAAGTAAAGCTTTATCTTTAAAGGAAAGCTTTTTCTCATTAGCAATATATTTGCTCCAGTTTTTAAGCGATTACGTTCTTCTGAAAGCTCTTCTAGGAAAGTTCTATAAAAAATCTTTAAAACTAAATATTTTTTGTTTATTTTCCTCTGAAAACTCTTCTAGAAAAGCTTTATAAAAAGCTTAAGCTACATACATATATGCTCCACAGGAATGCTAAATAGAATTTATCTCTCTCTTTGCAGGAAAGTTTAATGTCATAAACGATAGATTTGCTTTAAAAGAAAGCTTTAATTTAAAAAAAAAAGCTTTTTTTTATTAATAATATATTTCATCTAACTATTATTATGTTTCGCCCATTAAAAGTTCCATTAAGCTATTAAGCAATGGATTTTCCTTATAAAAATACATGAGCTTATAAGCAATAGATTTCCTCCTTAGTAAATCTTTTCCTTTATATGAAAGCTTTAGTTTAAAAGCAATAGATTTCTATTAGAGGAAATCTTGGATTTCCTATGCAGGAAACCTCCTCTTTTCTATGAAAGCTTTAGCTTAAATACAATAGAGGAAAGCATGAGCTTATAAACAATAGATTTACTTAATGGTAAAGCCTTTATAGGAGTGCTTGACTTATTCTTATAAAGAAAACCTCTTCCTTTATATAAAAGCTTGAGCTTTAAACGATAGATTTCCATTACATAAAAGCTTAAGCTTACAAAGAATAGATTTAATTAAATGCAACAGAATTTAGTTATATTTCTTCTGCAGAAGGATTTTCTTTAATAAAAATGCTTGAGCTGATAACAGTATATTTCTTCTATTAATAAACTTGAGCTTTTATGTATTATACTATCTGTAAAGTAAAGAAAAGCTTGAGCTTACAAACAATAATGGTAAAGCTAAAGCTTATTAGTAATAGATTTCCTGTATAGGAATGCTTTTCTCTATTAAAAAGTTTAAGCTCAAGAGAAATTATTGAGCTTAAAAGCAACAGAATTTCATCTATAAGAAAGTTTGAGTTTTAAACGATAAATTTTAGTTAGATTTCTTCTGCAGAAGGCTTTTTTTAATAGAAATGCTTGAACTGATAGCAATATATTTCCTCTATTAAAAAACTTTTAAGTTTTTTATGTAAAGTAAAGAATGAAATTATAAATTATATCGTGTTTATAAGTATTAGAATATAAGAAATCTAGAACATAAAGCAATTGTTTTCCATTTGATAATTTATAGAAAAGCTTGATATATAGAATAGATTTTCTCTATAGGAAAGCTAAAATTATTTCCTTCTGAGGAAAACCTTTCTCTATAAACTAAGCTAAAAAAACTAAGCTTATAAGTGGCAGATCTATAGAAAAGCTTCTATAAGAAGCAATTATAGGTAATAGATTTTCTATATAAGAAAGCTTTACTTTATATAGTATATAGAAAGCTATTTTTTTACATGAAAGTTTAAAAATTTCATAAAAATTGGTTCTATAAAACTTTGATAATGGATTATGAATAATACCCATAATCTATAAATGTACCCTATAGAAAAGCTTTAACTTTAAAGCGGTATATATTCTCTAATGGAAATCTAAAGCTTTTGACCTATAAATAAGCTTTAGGTAAATATTTTATTCTCTAATGGAATTCTATAAAACTTTGATAATGGATTATGAATAATACCCATAATCTATAAATGTACCCTATAGAAAAGCTTTAACTTTAAAGCGGTATATATTCTCTAATGGAAAGCTATAACACTTTTGACCTATAAATAAGCTTTAGGTAAATATTTTATTCTCTAATGGAATTCTATAAAACTTTGATAATGGATTATGAATAATACTCATAATCTATAAATGTACCCTATAGAAAAGCTTTAACTTTAAAGAGGTATATATTCTCTAATGGAAAGCTTTAAAGCTTTTGACCTGTAAATAAGCTATAAGGAAAAAACATATTTAATGCTCTAATAGAAAGCTATAAAGCTTTTGGCCTATAAATAAGCTTTAGCTAAATATTTAATGCCAAAAAACACTTTATTTACCCATGTGATAGATATCAGATGTTATAGAAAAGCTTGATATAACTGTGGGAAACTTTAGCGATAGATTTATTTATTAATGATAGCTTTACTGTATAGGAAATCTTATTATATTGGCGACAAATTTCCTAGACTCATATGAAAATTTAAGAAAAAGTTTAGTATATGATAGCTTGTGCTTTTAGCTAGATGTTATCTCTATAAAGAAAATTTATAAACAAAACAAATTTATTTAAATTCTATTTACCAGGTATTTAGTATTTAATTTCCTTATTAGAATTATTTACAAACTTAATAATTAACTCATCAATTATGTGGCTATATACTACAGCATTTGGTTGCAAGTCCATTGCAACAGAGACAGGCATCTAAAGCGTGCAACAGGTGGTTAAAATACCACAAATTATTCAATTATTACTGTGTTAAACAATTTGCAGTATTTAATAAATACATATGTATGCAGATAAAATTAACTTAATATTATGCTAAATAAATATTAAAATTTCTAAACATTTAAAGTTGTTTGAAAATGATCTTATTCATTTTCCTAATAATTTAAACTAATTAAATCAATTATGTTATATTATTTGGAAAAAAATGTTTCTTAACATAAGTTAGCATTTCCCACAGGAAAAAAAATTTATTAATAAAAATATTTTCATGACAGGAAACTGAATCTGTCATTGTTGTAATTTGAAGAATTTTACATAAGTTTGTTATTACTAAATATTTGCTCGAGTTTGTAATTAAATATTATTATAAAAAAAAAAAACATTTTCCTGTTTTCAATATTTAGTTGCTAAGTGAAAACGAGATTAATAACCTTTCAACTTTAAGCTATTAAAATGTTTAACAAATAATTTCAATTTATTTAAGTAAAAAACTCTGTAAATAAAATAATTCCACCAGAAATAATCTACAACTCTTAGACAAAATATGTATATTTGTATAAAATTATCTAAAAATATAACAGTTGTTTATTTATTTGTAGCTGGAAGATATAATATTTAATTAATCACAAGTCATGCATCGTTCAGACATTTTCACACTTCATTAACTATAATACACAAATATCTTAATTACATACTAACAAAAAAATAATACATTTTTTCATTTCCTTATTCCTAGAAATGCTCAGATTCAATTGTATCTAATAAGGAGACATTTCATACATTTGCTAGAACATTGGCCCCAGCTTCTAAGGTAAGTTTTTTTTTTGATGATAACAAAATAAAGATATTAGAAAATTTATTTGTTAATGTAGTAGGCTTTATATAAGACATGGTGCAAATTTTAAAGCGTCCAAAAAAAAATAATATTTTTTTATGTGGGTCTTGTATAGTATTTAGATTCGATTTACTTAGCTATATGTGTCCCCCGTCTCTTTATACAGGTCAACTTTGTCCCCAGAACATAGACTATTAAAAATATCAATGTGCAAGTTACAGGTAACTAAATTAAAAACTAAATCTTACTAGGTTTCTTTTTCGATATCGAATAGCATCGTCTAAAAAAAGGAATATTAAGATCAATTTGACTCGATCACGTATGCCGTAATTCAGTCCTTGTTATACCCTACGCTACTATAGTGAGGAGGATATTATGAGTTTGTGCTGATAGTTGTAACACCCACAAATATTGGTCCCATCATAAAGTATACCAATTGGCTAAGAATTGTCTGTCTGTCCGCCTGTCCGTCTGTATGTATATGTAAATTCTCTTCTTTTGACCCATGGAACAAGCCTATTGAAATCGGTTCTATATTCCGCATAGCCGCCATACAACCGTATCTCCTAATAGGTCTTTTGAGCGCACAGTTATGACTGAGTTCAGAAAATGACTGAAATGGATCATATAGACGGCCATTCCCGTTAGTTAGTTAGTTAGTTAGTTAGTTAGTTAGTTAGTTAGTTAGTTAGGTAGTTAGTTAGGTAGTTAGTTAGTTAGTTAGTTAGTTAGTTAGTTAGTTAGATAGTTAGTTAGTTAGTTAGTTAGTTAGTTAGTTAGTTAGTTAGTTAGTTAGTTAGTTAGTTAGTTAGTTAGTTAGTTAGTTAGTTAGTTAGTTAGTTAGTTAGTAGTTAGTTAGTTAGTTAGTTAGTTAGTTAGTTAGTTAGTTAGTTAGTTAGTAGTTAGTTAGTTAGTAGTAGTAGTTAGTTAGTTAGTTAGTTAGTTAGTTAGTTAGTTAGTTAGTTAGTTAGTTAGTTAGTAGTTAGTTAGTTCGTTAGTTAGTTAGTTAGTTAGTTAGTTAGTTAGTTAGTTAGTTAGTTAGTTAGTTAGTTAGTTAGTTAGTTAGTTAGTTAGTTAGTTAGTTAGTTAGTTAGTTAGTTAGTTAGTTAGTTAGTTAGTTAGTTAGTTAGTTAGTTAGTTAGTTAGTAGTTAGTTAGTTAGTTAGTGTAGTTAGTTAGTTAGTTAGTAGTTAGTTAGTTAGTTAGTTAGTTAGTTAGTTAGTTAGTTAGTTAGTTAGTTAGTTAGTTAGTTAGTTAGTTAGTTAGTAGTTAGTTAGTTAGTTAGTTAGTTAGTTAGTAGTTAGTTAGTTAGTAGTAGTTAGTTAGTTAGTTAGTTAGTTAGTTAGTTAGTAGTTAGTTAGTTAGTTAGTTAGTTAGTTAGTTAGTAGTTAGTTAGTTAGTTAGTTAGTTAGTTAGTTAGTTAGTTAGTTAGTTAGTTAGTTAGTTAGTTAGTAGTTAGTTAGTTAGTTAGTTAGTTAGTTAGTTAGTTAGTTAGTTAGTTAGTTAGTTAGTTAGTTAGTTAGTTAGTTAGTTAGTTAGTTAGTTAGTTAGTAGTTAGTTAGTTAGTTAGTTAGTTAGTTAGTTAGTTAGTTAGTTAGTTAGTTAGTTAGTTAGTTAGTTAGTTAGTTAGTTAGTTAGTTAGTTAGTTAGTTAGTTAGTTAGTTAGTTAGTAGTTAGTTAGTTAGTAGTTAGTTAGTTAGTTAGTTAGTTAGTTAGTTAGTTAGTTAGTTAGTTAGTTAGTTAGTTAGTTAGTTAGTTAGTTAGTTAGTTAGTTAGTTAGTTAGTTAGTTAGTTAGTTAGTTAGTTAGTTAGTTAGTTAGTTAGTTAGTTAGTTAGTAGTTAGTAGTTAGTTAGTAGTTAGTTAGTTAGTTAGTTAGTTAGTTAGTTAGTTAGTAGTTAGTTAGTTAGTTAGTTAGTTAGTTAGTTAGTTAGTTAGTTAGTTAGTTAGTTAGTTAGTTAGTTAGTTAGTTAGTTAGTTAGTTAGTTAGTTAGTTAGTTAGTTAGTTAGTTAGTTAGTTAGTTAGTTAGTAGTTAGTTAGTTAGTTAGTTAGTTAGTTAGTTAGTTAGTTAGTTAGTTAGTTAGTAGTTAGTTAGTTAGTTAGTTAGTTAGTTAGTTAGTTAGTTAGTTAGTTAGTTAGTTAGTTAGTTAGTTAGTTAGTTAGTTAGTTAGTTAGTTAGTTAGTTAGTTAGTTAGTTAGTTAGTTAGTTAGTTAGTTAGTTAGTTAGTTAGTTAGTTAGTTAGTTAGTTAGTTAGTTAGTTAGTTAGTTAGTTAGTTAGTTAGTAGTTAGTTAGTTAGTTAGTTAGTTAGTTAGTTAGTTAGTTAGTTAGTTAGTTAGTTAGTTAGTTAGTTAGTTAGTTAGTTAGTTAGTTAGTTAGTTAGTTAGTTAGTTAGTTAGTTAGTTAGTTAGTTAGTTAGTTAGTTAGTTAGTTAGTTAGTTAGTTAGTTAGTTAGTTAGTTAGTTAGTTAGTTAGTTAGTTAGTTAGTAGTTAGTTAGTTAGTTAGTTAGTTAGTTAGTTAGTTAGTTAGTTAGTTAGTTAGTTAGTTAGTTAGTTAGTTAGTTAGTTAGTTAGTTAGTTAGTTAGTTAGTTAGTTAGTTAGTTAGTTAGTTAGTTAGTTAGTTAGTTAGTTAGTTAGTTAGTTAGTTAGTTAGTTAGTTAGTTAGTTAGTTAGTTAGTTAGTTAGTTAGTTAGTTAGTTAGTTAGTTAGTTAGTTAGTTAGTTAGTTAGTTAGTTAGTTAGTTAGTTAGTTAGTTAGTTAGTTAGTTAGTTAGTTAGTTAGTTAGTAGTTAGTTAGTTAGTTAGTTAGTTAGTTAGTTAGTTAGTTAGTTAGTTAGTAGTTAGTTAGTTAGTTAGTTAGTTAGTTAGTTAGTTAGTTAGTTAGTTAGTTAGTTAGTTAGTTAGTTAGTTAGTTAGTTAGTAGTTAGTAGTTAGTTAGTTAGTTAGTTAGTTAGTTAGTTAGTTAGTTAGTTAGTTAGTTAGTTAGT